GCGCTGAAGAATGTGACTCCTCCAGGTACCTAAGGGAAACACAGGGTGATCCGGGGGAACCTACCAGCATATCGGAGTCCTGAAATGTAGCTCGAGGAAGGAGCCCCAGGGAGGTGATGCGCACAGCTAGCCGGTGGGCTGACTCTGGATCAAGCAGCCTCTGCAGGGCTGGCATCAGGTATTCAGCATAGAAATGGTCATCCCCCTTGGCTGTCAGGTAAGAGGTGAAGAAAATTCCTCCACCCCCGAGGATGATGACTGCATCCAGCACCCGTTTCTAGTGGGGGGAAAGAAAGGACCCATGAGGACCCCCATCAGGCCAGGCTGCGGCACCCTTCCTGGCCCTTATTAAAACTATCCACAAGACATCTACATGAAATGACAGCCCTTCTCTGCTTACACTGCCTCCTTCCATTTTCTGCCCACTCACACACCAGCCTTTGAAGAGGCTGTATCTACCATTACTGCTTTCACAGGTTTGAGCCCTGATTATTTTCAAGGGACCAGCCAGGGAAATTTTAAGACAATACCTACAACCTATACAAAACATTACCAAGAACCATTCCTAAAACTTCACCAGAATAGCTGTACTCCTCTGCTTGTATAGCAGTGCACATCTGTGGCACTCGGATCTAAGGAGAGGCTTAAACATTTGACCATCTATTTAGGTGAGTTGTGTTCTGACTGCTACACAGTAAAATGCACGTTTTCATATCTCCTTGACACTGTGGTTAGGACCTGGTGTTTGTTTATATTTTAAAATTGTACCTAGAAAGGTAACTGGACTGAAACATCCTATGTGTGTAATATAAAGGGGCTGCAATAGAAACACAGCTTCAGTCTTCTTGGGTGGCAAGCCACTACCCCACCCAAAAGTGGTTCACAACGCTTTCTGATAATTACCACTGCCAAATGCTAAGTGGCTAGCTAACACATTCATTCCATCCTTTACCAAAGGCAAACAAACCAGACCCTGTCCTTCAGGAGAGTGTAATTCAGGATTAGAGACAAACTAATGGCCAAGAAAAGTCCAAGCCAAGACAGCTGACATGAAGGGCTACATAATGGAAGGATTTTGAGGAAGCTAACTTTCAAAGGATCCAAAAGCTAAAGAGGAGAGGGCAGCTGGAGAAAGGATCTCTAGGTGGCTGAAGCCAATGAGAAGGGCCGGAGTATGGAGTAGGAGACAGGAGAAGCGAGTGGGGTGCGGGTCAAAAGACAGATTTGGGGGCCTGGAGATGGCTGAGTGGCTAAGTGCACTTGCTGCTCCGCCAGCTCCCACGTCAGGCGGCTCACCATAACCATCTATAACTTGAGCTTTAGGGGATCCAACACATCTGCTCTCACATGCATATACTTACGCGCGCCCGCGCGCGCCCACACATATTTTTTTTTTTCTTTAATGACATTTGTCCACTAAACAAGGAAGTAGCGGATGTGATCTAATTTGCCTGCAACGAAAACCAAGTATTCATTCTCCCTCCTCCGGGAGGTTGCAGACATGCCTCAAGCACCAATACCTGAGCCAAGCAGCAATACCTGAGCACTTTCTCCAAACCAGGGACATAACTAAGGGCTCTTCACACAGAGCTCCCATTCTAACGACACTTGATCTAGAAGGGTGTCCGGATGTCTTACTTCATTCCGCCTGGGGTCCTAGGCGAACATGTACTCATAGCAGCCCGACACTAGCTCAATTTAAAAACAAACAAACAAACCTGCTCCCACCCTTCACGCTCAGCCCAGCCTCTTCCTGCACGTCCCTAGCTGCGCACACGTGCAGGCCATACTGCAGGGGCCCCAGGCTTTCACTCTCCCTGTCCCCCCTTCCCTGCCCGTGACCCCCACCACGCGCGAGCCTCCCCAGGCACACTCACCCGCAGATGCGTCCACGCCATGCTCCTTCTGCAAGCAGGCCCGCCTCTGCCTCGGTTCCACTGGAGAATGTGGGTTCGGCTCTACCAATCACCCAAGCCCCGCCACCGGCCCCGCCCCGGACCTAGGTGTTGACTGGACGGTCGCGCGCGTGCGCTCTGGCGGGAGTCACGCTCGTTCCTCCCAGCAGGCGTTTATTACGTTCGCTTTTGCTACTTCTGTGCCTTCTAAGAAACTCGGCCCTGAAATCCCGCGCCCTCCCTCTGGGCGTCAGTGAGGAAAAGGCGACCAGAGCCTCGGGAGGGGCGCACACTCCTCCGACGTCGGCGGGCTCTAACCCCAGCGCCCGGCGGTGTGCACGATCCTAATGCTTCCCTGTCCTTAGGGAGGAAACAAAGGGCGCTGACGCTCGGAGGTTCCGCAAGCTTCCTGGGCCCCTTCCTGAAACAGAAAGTTTACGGAGCCTGTTTTACAGAGCACGTTCACGTCGGCACGTTGTGAAACATAAATAAATAAACATTTAAGTGCCGACTTAAAAAGTGAGCTGCTGTGTTAATACGCACGGCTCTTATTTTGTCTTTGAGGCAGTATTAAGGGGTAGCACCGGTTTCTCGAAAAGTAACAATCTTGCCCAGGCACCCACGTGCCTGGGTGTCCACAGAGGCCCGCAGAAAGCACTGAGTCCCCCGGAACTGGAGTTACACATGGTTGGGGGCACTGTACTCATTTGCACGTACCCACATGCAGATATACCTACACATAATTTAAAATGATAAAAATAGATCTTTTTAAAGGGAAAAAAAAACATATTTGGCTTTCTGAGATTGGCCTGCTTCACTTAACGGTATCTCTAGTCCCATGCGTGGGACTAGACCATTTCTGTAAATGATCTTATTTCATTCTTCTTAATGGCCGGATACTGTTCCATACCATAGGTATATCTTGTTATCTCCATCTGTTTATTCGTTACTGATTCCATAACTTGGCTGTTGTGAATAGTGCTGGAAAAACCAGAGATGTCCAAGTTCCTCTGTTGTATGCAACTTGGATTCCTTTGGGAATATACCTAGAAGGGGCCTATCTAAGATGTTTGGTGGTGATTCAGTGTTTGTTTCTTTTAAACTCGTGTTCTGTGTGTGAGAGTTCCGGCACCAACCTGCTAGGGCAGACATGTGGAGGCTGGAGGACAAGTTTCAGGAGCAGGTTCTTGAACCAGGGCCTCTCGCTGCAGCACTACTTGTGGCTAGCTAGACTTCAAGCTTCCAGGCAGTCCGTCTCTATCTCCCATCTCTCTGTAGGAGCGCTGCGATTTCAGGTGCTTGCCACTGTATCCCATAGGTTCTGGGGTCTGAACTCAGGTTATCAGGCTTCCACATGTAATGAATGGGACAGTTAACGGTGTCTAAGGTTTAGGGCAGTGTTTACGGTTTTCCTTTTGGCTGGATCCTTGTCAACACTGTGGAAACTGGACGTCAATTTTACTATGATTTGCATGTCCATGAGAGCTAAGGATGCTGGACATTTCTTCGTAAGATTCATTGGCCATTCGTGTGATTCTAGAAACCTGTCTGCTCATTTCATCTGCCCGTTTATTAATCAGATTTATTGCTTAGATTGGTATTTGTTTAGTCTTTAGTAGTAGTAGTATTTGTTTTGTTTTGTTGGGTTTTTTTTTTGTTGTTATTGTTTTGTTTTTCAAAACAGGGTTTCTTTCTGTAGCATTGGCTGTCCTGGACTCACTTTATAGACCAAGCTGGCTTCGAACTCACAGAAATACACCTGCCTCAGCTTCCCTGAGTGCTAGGATTAAAGGCATGCGCCACCACACCCAGCTCTATCTAGTCTTTTTTATATGCCGGCTATTAGTCCACTGTCCGGTAAATAGCTGGCAAAGCTTTTCTTCCATTCTGTGGTCTCTTTCTTAGTCTGGAAACTGTTTCCTTTGCTGCAGACATTTTTAATTTCGTGTTTTTAAGTTTCTTCCAGTTGCTAAATTTTGATATTTCCTAGGTAGGTTATTGGAGTCCTTGCCTCTGCCAGGATCCTGAAGGGTTTTTTTCCACATATTTTCTTCTATTAGTATCTAAGTTTCAGGTCTTCGATCAATTTTTCAGTTGTTTTGGGCAGAGTGAGAGACTGTGATGTAGTTTTATTCTTCCACATGCGGGTATCCAGGTTTCCCAGCACCATTTGTTACACATTTGAGCATCTTTGTCAAAAACCAGGAGACATTTGCTGTGGGGGTTTATTTCTGGGTTCTCTAATATGTCCTGGGGGTCTTTGAGTCTGCCTTTGGGCCAGAACCAAGCTATTAGTTAATGTGGCTGTATATTACAGCTTAACCCCATGCTGTGGTACTTTCAGCAATGCTCTTTCTGCTCAGGATTCTTTTGTGCCCCCAATATCCATTAGGATTGTGGGGGGGGGTTGTTGTTTGTTTCTTTGTTTTTTTGTTTTCTTTTGGGGTTTTCGAGACAAGGTTTCTCTGTGTAGTATCAGCTGTCCTAGATTTGCTTTGTAGACCAGGCTGGTCCAAACTCACAAAGATCTGCCTGCTTCTTGCTTCCCCGACAGGATTGTTTTTATATGTCTGTAAAGAATGTCAGTGCAGAATGTCTGAGAATTGGATTGATCCAGTAGACCATTTTCAATAGGGTAGCCATTTCTAGAGTAACCTGCCAATCCATGAACATGGGATGTCTGTCTTCTAGCGTGGCCTCCCATTTCTTCTTCAGTGGTTTAGAATTTATATTCAGGAGGCCCTTTGTTACCTCAGTTAGGCTTATTCTTGGGTGTTTGTGTGTGTGTGTGTGTGTGTGTGTGTGTGTGTGTGTGGTGTCTTGTGTTATTTGTTGTTAATGAGATTGTTTCCCAGAAATCTTTCTCTGCATTTTATCTACTAAACACAAGAAAAACAAAATAAGTAAGCTAATGGTATTTTGTAGCTGGTTTGGTTTTTGTTTTAATTTTATTTATTTGTTTGTTTGTGTGTGTGTGTGTGTGTTTACCTTGGTACACATATGGAAATCAGAGCACAACTTGCAGGAATCGGCTCTGTCTTTTCATCACATGGTTCTGGGGATTGAATTTAGGCTGCCAGGCCTGGCAGCAAGCACCTTTGACCACTGAGCCATCTCACTGCTCCCCCAGTGGTTCTGGTATATTGATTTTTGTAACATGTTATTTTCCTGAAAGTTTTTATCATCTAGAAGAGTATTCTGGTGGAATCTTCAAGGTCTTTTAAGTATAGGCTCAAATTGTCTGCAACGGGGATAATTTGAGTTCTCCCTTCCCTTATAGATCTCTTAGGTTGCTGTAAATAAAAAAAAAAAAAATGAGGTTGGACTATATAATGTTTATTGTTATCCCTAAGATTATCATGGCAGTATTTTCTAACCCCCTATCACAAATAATAAGACAACAGACACCTGTTAGATTTTCTAATTGCCTTATTTACCTTGGGCCGGACTGAGATTCCTACCAATGCTGTCTGAATATCCTCACCATCCATCTCCCAGCCCCCATCCAATGCCATCCACCTTAATCCTCCTCATGTGGTCTACCTTCCACCCATAATCCTATGGTACTTGCTTGTAGTCTTCATCTGGGCCTTTTTGCGCCATTATTGGAGTCCTTCCTCTCAGTCCACACAGTTTTTTTTTTTCTCCACATTAACCCATCATGGTATCCTCCTTCCTCCTCTCTTCCTATCTGTCTGTCTCCCATGATTCTCCTGTCATCTCCAAGCCTGGGAACCTTAGCCATGCCTATCCCATTCTGCCCTGCCCAGGTATAGGCTGTTTAATCAACCAATCAGGTATGTCTAGGCAGGTTTACAAAACAAGGACAGGTGAAACCAGATCTTGAGGGCATCAGACAAACCTCCAACACTTTTATTTCCTCTTGCCTCATTGCCCTAGTGAATAATCCCACTGCTATACTAAATAAAGCTAAAGTGGACACCTTTTTATTCATTCCTGATTTTAGAGGAAATGCTTTCAGTTTTCCCCACTTAGAATAACACTGGATATAAGTTTATCATAGACAGCATTTTTTTTTTTTTTTAGAAAACCACGAGTGTTTATAGAATCTTGTCATCACCTTCTGCAGTGCTGGTTCTGTGGTTGTGAATCATTTAAGTACATTTGTTCTGTAAGCGTCTCACAGCTCCTTCAGCATGGGCAGAAAACATCGCTGGGTCTGGTCATCTTGACTGTCAGACATTTGCTCTAAGGATTATGTTGCATCATTCCATGCCTGTCTGGTTTGAGGGTTCCTCTGTTTAGTCTGGGCATTCTGAGTTTGTCTTTGTGAGTGAGATGGCCTTCCACTCCAGGTTCAATTCACATGTGCTACTCAGCGGACCCTCTTCCGCTCAAGCTGTCTCTCTGTGGTGACACTTTTTTTTCTCTCATTATTAAGAACAATTATCTCATTTCTTCCCTATCTAGACCTTTCAAAGCGTGGGTCATACTACGACCTTCAAGAGCACACTGCAGCATTTTCAAACTGAGGGGATACGTCCTCAGATCCTGTACTTGAGAGGATGTTCAGTTTTGATGTCTGCTTCTGCAATGGTTTTCAAAACTCATTAGGGCATTAAGAGCTGAGGATGTAGCCCAGTGGTAGAGCTCATGCAGGGGGCCCTGAATTCAGTTCCAGTGACGCACACACCAAACACAGCTGGGGAGAAAAATAAGCTTTATCTGGGCAGCTTAGATAACCATCTTAACCCTGAAAGCGGCCATGCATTTTCAGTACCGCATTTGCTTGCATTCCTGGCGCAAAAGAAGAGAACCAGCTGTACAGATCAATGAAAGGAGAGCAGCAGGTGAAAAACCACGTGTTAAGCTCTGTAAACAAAGGTTTTTGGCAAAACAATAACCAAAAAACGTGAGAGAACTGAAAATTCAGTGGCGTGAAGCACCGTGCCTATCACAGTCAAAGAAGGCCGTGTGGTTGCAGGCCAGCACCACACAGATTTGCTGTTCGGTTCAGACAAGTGTGGGCTTTGTTGGTTTCCGGTATTGTTCATATTTAATTTGTATTCATCCTTTCATCAACTGTTCATCCGTCTTTTCTGACTGGGTAAGATCTTTAAAATACAGTTGATGCGTGGTTTTGGCATCGTGCGCTTAAGAAACACAATGCAGCCGTCTGAACCAATCCCAGTGGCCGAAAATATGAAGGACACACAGGCCTAGAGATTTATCGGCAACAGTCTTCCTGTTTTTACACGTTAAAATCCTGCTGGGAAAGGGATTCCTGCTGCATGAGCAGATTTCAACTGTTCTGTCACAAAAGCGTTTTCAAGCATAGCTCTGTGATGACAGACATGTTAATTTACCGCATCACAGTCCCTAGTCTGTCCTGTAACACACTATGCTCCTTTATACAACGTGCATTATGAAATACACGTTCTTTGTATAACTTATTTTCGAATACTACATATTGATGTCATATTAATGAGCGTCACGGCAGCTATAGCGTTTCCTCTACTGGTTTCAGACTGCCTTTAAATTCTAGCCTCGACCGATGAAAGGACCCGTGTGATCACGGGTCTCTTGCGTCTCACTCATTGTTGTTTAACATGAAAACCTCCAGTTCCAGCCAACAACGTATAAGAGCAACTTTCCCGGATTTTAATGATGGTCATTTGGGGAGGGGTGTGGGGAGATGAAACCTCAGTGTAGCTTTGGATTGCATTTCCCTGGTTGCTAAGGACGAAGGACTAACGACCTAAAAGCATCAAGTGACTGAGAAGCTCTGGGCAGGAAGTCAATGGACTGATGATACCTTTGGAAGCCCCTGATCCATACACAAAACCTGCTGCTACCTACCACTTCTAGACTACGGCAGAAATGACCTGCAGATGGACCAGACTCTTCTGTCCCCGAAGTTCCCTCTTTCCACATTTTATAAAACCTGTGCTGCAAAAGCTGAGATCAGCAAGTCTAGGAGCACCGACATTGATATCCGCCAGCCTCTCCCTGCTGACAGGTAGACTTGGCTTCCTAATGGACCTTTATTTGTTAAAGGTACATCTGCTTATGTGGACACAGATGGAGGCATTGGTGACTCGGCTCTAAAATCTTGTTTGCTGTTTATTTGCAGCCGGTAGGCACTCTGTCTGGGCTCAAACAAAGCAAAACCTTTCATCTCCTTGGCAGGTTGTTCCCAACGCACAAAAAGAACAGTAGAAATGATTATGACAAAGGCACTGCGCCGTATTTAAAAGGCCAGGCAGCTACCCAGCCGTCATACATTTTTCTTACTCACAGTGCAGAGGTAAAATGCTCTTCCAAAGATGGTCCTGGCTCTTGCTGTATGTGAGAGTTGGTATCGTTCTGGGACCTGAACCGAGCGACCCTGAGCAACATGGGAAAAGTCATTGCTATCAGCTTCACAAACTTAACTGCAACTTCGCTGAAGCAGAGCGGTTCTGCCGCAACCTGAGAGGACACCTGGCCCACACTTGGAACCCAAAGCTTCAGGCCGTCATCCAAAAGTTCCTGAAAAAAGAAACAATAATATGGTGGGTGGGGGAAAACCTAAACCAACTGAGGAAGCCTCCTCCCGGGATAACCCAGCCAGGTAGGGCTCTGGTGTGGTGTTGAGGAAACAAACCTCCTTGTGTTTTGTTCTAGGGAGAAAGAAGGTGACCTTTAATCTTTCCGCTTTTATATTCAGAAAAAGGGCTGACTTGACAATCCTCTCTCTCTCTCTCTGCAGGTTTTCCACTCTCGTGCAACCGCCTTCATTTGTCTCTATAGCAAAGGCAATGGGTCGCCCCCCCCCACCCCCAGACACTGTTTCTCTATGTAGCCCTGGCTGTCCTGAAACTCATTTTGTAGACCAGGCTGGCCTTGAACTCACAAGGCTTGTGCCACCACCGCTGGGTGGCAATAGGCTTTTGTTTTGTTTTGTATTTGAGACAGTTTTGCTTTGTTTTGCAGGATGTCCTGAAACTTGGAATTTAGCCCAGACTGGCCTCCAACTCTCAATCCCCCATCTCAGCCTCTTGGTTTTTGTCTTTCCAGGTATACAACTAGCTCAAGATCCTAGAGAGGAAAATCTTCTACAGTGACTTTCTTTGTTTTTTATTATTATTAATTAATTCAATTTACATCTCGGGCATAGGTCCCTCCCTCCTCTCCTCCCAGACCACCCACTCTCCCGCATCCCCCCCCCATTTCCTCAGAATAGGGGAACCCTCCTATCCAGACAGTCCCATGGTAGGGGGAGTGATCAAAATAACATAGTCCATATCAGAGATATCCCATACTTCTCTGACTATTGGGCCCACATGGAGCCTAAAATGCCCATCGGTTATTTATAAGTAGGGGAGCTAGTTCCATACCATGCATTGTCCTTGGTTGGTGCTTCAGACTCCATGGGCCCCTCTAGGCCCGAGTTGATTGGCTCTGATGGTCCTTGTTCCCACTCTTCCACCATTCTTTGTTATCCTTGCCTCCAAATTTCCCAAAACACAAGCCAGGAAAGAAATTACCCATTTGTTGTCTTTCTTACAAAATTAGGTACCATAATCTCGCAGTTTTAGAGAGAAAAAAAAAAAAATCCAAGAATTTATTATATCATCATTTCTCTGTTCATGTCTAGGTAATTAATTCTAAGCTCTGTGATTAAAAACATATAAATATTAAAGAGTAACCAATAATATGTAGGGAGAAGTCATAAATTTGCATTTGCTGGAAGGGGGATAAATGGGGCTTTCTTTCATAGGGAGTACGTGTGTGTGTCACACTGGTGCCACGGTGTGTGTGTGTGTGTGTGTGTGTGTGTGTGTGGAGGCTAGGGATCAGCCTCACTTATTTGTTCTCACCTTCACTTGGTAGGAGACAAGGTCAGTGTTGTTGTCTACCCCAGGCAAGCTGCCCCACGGGTCTCCGGGACTCTCTTTTCTCCGCCTCCCATCTCACCTAGGAGCGCTGGGGTTACAGACACACAGGCTGCCGTGCCTGGCTCCCCCTGGGCTCTGGGGATTTGAACTCAGATCCTCACACTTGTCCGGCAAGTGCCTTGCCCCCTGAGTTGTCTCCCCTGCCTGACTTTGAAGAATGAGGCTTAACTGAGTCTGGTGCCCCTCCAGGAGGTGTCGCTGACTTCAGGGCCCCGAAGGTTGACATGTGCAAGTCCGTGGTCACAGGCCCTGACAATATCTACCAACTGTGGGACCATTGCAAAAAGAAGCACCATTTCATCTGCCAGACTGGTGAGTGACAAAGCCACAGCAATCTCAGCTTCGAGACTGATTTTAGATAAGGAATGCACGGGAGAGGATTTAGTTTAGCTTAGTTTGTTATTTTGTTTTGGTTCTTTCGAGACAGGGTTTCTCTGTGTAGCCTTGGCTGTCCTGGGCTTGCTTTGCAGAGGATTTATTTCAAATAGTCAGTAATGGACCATAGGGCAGATACATGAATTTCTCATTTTTTGTATCTGAGTTACATTTTTTAACTTGTTTTGTGTGCCTGGGGTAGGGGTACACGTGTCTAGTGAACATATGGAGGTCAGAGGGCATCTTGAAGGCGTCAGTTCTCTCCTTCCACCATGTGAGTTCTGGGGTTTAAACTAAGGTCATCAGGCTTGGTGGCAAACGCCTTTTCTCTTCGAGCTGTCTCTCCAGCCTGCAATTTTTATTCTCATGACACCGATCATCATAAGACGCTGCCTCCCAAAAGCGAGTGGTGCCTTCACACATCCCACTGTGCTAGTTGCTGGTTGAAGTCCTCTTGTGGTTGACTTGGTTGAAGTGCAGGAGAAATTGAGTTAGGAGCTTTCACTTGCTGCATGTGAGCCCCTAGTCTGGTCAGCCCTGGACTGTGGAGACAAAAATGGGAAGGCAGACAGAATGTGGTATAGGAAAGTGAAAAGACAAAAGAGGCCATGATCTCTTGGCAGTGTGCTTCCCTGGAGCAGGAAGATCAGAAAGTGTGCAGCATTGTCTGTGTGTGTATGTGTGTCTGTCATTTTGCGCACATGAATTCAGGTTCCTGTAGGGGCCAGAAGGCAGAGGCATTGGAACTCCCCCTCCCCCAACGCGGGGTGGGGGTGGATGGAGTTATAGGCAGATATGAGCTTCCTGACATGGATACTAGGAATCAAACTCAGGTCCTCTGAAAGAGCAGTGTGCGTGCTTATCCACATTTTTAATAAGTGACGTTCCTGGCAGCAGCATCTGCTTTCATAAAGCACTTAGTCTTGGCCCAGTAGATTCTCAAAGTCCCTACAATATCTCAGACAATCTGGACAAAAATTTCATTCCACTTTTTTGAGGGGAAAGGTAGGCAGGGGGAAAAAAAAAGTCCCTTTGTTTGTAGCTCTGGCTGTCCTGGAACTAGGCTGGTCTCAAACTCAGTAAGATTCTTCCTGCCTCTGCTCCCGGAGTGTTGGGATTAAAGGTGTGTGCCACCATGCCCAGCCACTTCATTCTGCTTTTCAAATTTACAAATGTATTCTTGTTAACACATGAGGTGTCTGTGGCTAACGCCGAAACAGAACCCATTGCAGTATCTCTCTCTCTGTCCCAATAGAAAGATCATCTTCCTGAAGTAACAGCAGTGAAAGCACTCATTGCCTCAATTTAGTAAATGGCTAGCTTCAAGCCCCTCGTTCTTCACCATGCCGGGTTCCTTGTGTTCACTCCTCCTTTGCCATCACAGCTTGCTGCTATTGATGAGGCCAAGGTAGTAAGGCTGAATCCCTCACAAGTCAGCAGCCATTTTTTCCTCCTCACAAACTGCCTCCAGCTGTATTACCATTGTGAGTCATCTGGGTCCTTACAGAAGGTTGTTTGTCTGTCACAGCCCACCTCCATGTTTAAAAAAAGCAATTTAAATTAATGTAGCCTACCTGATGGCATGGGCACCAGTTTTGAATGAGAGTTGAATGTTTGGGCACTCTCAAGAATTCTTGGCTTTGGACTCTACAAACACAGTCCTCCCCACCCCTGTGTGGTCTCCAGCTTTGTTACGTGTCCAAAGATGACCTTGAACTTCTGGCTCTCCTGCTCCTACTTTCCCTTGCCAGAATAACAGGCCTACGCCACCACGCCCAGCCTGATGCCTAAACTTCTGTGCTTAGACATGCACAGCTCTGGAAATTGCAACGGAATTATCTCTGCAAATGGCATATAGTCTCTCTACTGGTGAATGAAGCAAAAATGAAGAACATGTACAGAGTGCTAGTCTTAAAAGATAGCATGAGAGTGTGTGTATGTGTCTAGAGTGATGGCTGGACCAGCAACGTCACTGTTGGGCTGAGGGTGTGACTCTGTGGTGCGGTGCTACTGCCTGGACCACCGCCAAAGCCGCTCCTGCCATTTCCGGACCCTGAGCTCAACCAACCAGAGTTACAAAACCACAAAGGAAAATGTGTTGTTCAGCATGTCCTTTCGTACAAGTATTTTAATCCTCTATTGCTTGCTCGTTGGCCCAACGAGACCCAGTTTTACGTTCCCTGAGTATACAGTCAGATGCGGCTATGGTCAGAGTGAAGGGGGTACTTCAGAATCTCCATATTGTCATTTAGATGAAAAGACTAAAAATCTTTGTGTTTCCCTGATTGTCACTCGAGTACATGCATGCGTGTGTGTGCGTGTGTGCGTGTGTGCGTGTGTGTGTGTGTGTCTGTGTGACGACCATTTGTGAACTTAGAGATGACATCATAACCAACAGATAAACTTCTGTGTTGGCTCCACACAGCTGCCTTTCCTCAGCACAGTGCAAGCAGTGAGAGAACTAAGCGTGGTCCGAGGAGACAAAAGAGAAAAAGAGGAGCACAGCCAGAGAGAAATATGTTCCCAGGTAACGTGTTCCTTCTCCAAATGTGTGACCCAATCCTCCCTGGAGGTTCCTGGAGCAGAGGTAAATCTGAATGACTTACTGCACCAGGAGCCAAGGCAGCGCCTGATTCTGTCTGTGTATCTGATTTCAATACTGAAGTCTGGACACCTTTTGTTCTTTGTGGTGCTGGCTATCAAACCCAAGGCTCTGTGCATAGGCAAGCACTCTATTGCCAAGCCACAGCCCAACTGCTATGTGTTCTCTCTCTCTCTCTCTCTCTCTCATGCTAATTGGGGAAGGTGCTTTTGTCTGAAAACACTTCAGTCTTATCCACGTTGGCTGATTAGAGAGCGCACCAGACAAAGGGTAAAAATGAGACAGATTTACGGTGGATGAGAGAAAGAATCTTGTGAGAACATGTGTACATGAACACACACACTCACTACCAAGTGAAGGACACAGGTGAGATGGCTCAGCAGGTAAAGGCATGTGCCATGCCAGCTTGGTAACTTGAGTTCAATCCCTAAAACCCATGAAAGACTGAATGAAGAGAACAAACCCCACAAAGCTGGGCCCCACACATGTGCTAACATGGCACACTAATAACGAATTAGGATTTTTTTAACTTCTTAATATGGTTAATGTACCTCTTTAACCCCACACCCAAGATTTTCTTAGTCTAATCTGAGGGATATTATTCAACTCATACTTTTTCCCCTGGCAGTAATGGAGATTGAATCTAGGGTCTCACCCATACTGGGCAAGTGCTCAGCTACTCAGCTAAAAGCCCAGCCCTCTAAAATAGCACTTTTTTCATGACTTTTTAAAAACTGTATTTTATTAATTCCCTGAGAATTTCATACAGTGTATTTTGATCATAGTCATTCTCCTCTCTTCCCTCTAACTCCTCCCAGATGGATTCCTACTTCTTTAAGTACCCCCAACTTCATTCCTTTTAGATTTTTTTGTTGTTGTTTTGTTTTGTTTTTGTTTTTCGAGTCAGGGTTTCTCTGTGTAGCCTTTGGCTGTTCTGGACTCCCTTTGTAAACCAGCCTGGCCTCTAACTCACAGAGATCCTCCTACCTCTGCCTCCCAAGTGCTGGGATTAAATGCACGCACCACCACCGCCCAGCTGTTTTGTTTTTTCTTAGCAATCAAGTCCTAGTTGTGCGCCCCTGTTTTCCTGGGGACCTACACTGGTGCTTGGCTGACTTACTGGGGGCCACACTCTTAAAGAAGATCGACTCTCAGAGCTGACTTCTCCCCCAGAATAGCCACTGCTTATAGCTGCCCGGCTAAGGAGAAGGGATTATAAATGCCTTCTGCCTCCACGCTAGAATGTTGAACATTTGACCTTGAGCGGGTCTTGCACCAGCAACCACAGCTCATGAGTGCAGCGGTCCAGTTGTTTCCTGAAGACACTGTTTCACTCTAGTCACCCCTGTCCTCTGGTTCTCGCCATCTCTCTGCCTCCTCTTTCTGGATGCTGCCTGATCTTTGCTGGGTGGTGAGTTACACAGGCGCTCCGTTCGAGGCTGAACACCCCTCGGTCACTTACTGGCTGCACAGGGATCAGTTGTGAGCATCTGAATTGACCACCATGCTCTACAGAAAGACACCTCTCTGACGAAGTCCTTTCATTGTGTGTGTTTCGCCTGCTTGTATGGCTATGCCCCATGTGCATGCGTGGTGCCCATGGAAGGTGTTGAATCCCTTGAGACTACAGTTACAGATGATAGTGAGCTGCCAATCAGACCCGAATCCCCTGGCAGAGCAACCAGTGCTTCTAAGGGCTGAGCCATTAGGCTCCCTTAATAATCCTTAAAAAAACAAAACAAAACAAAACAAAACAAAAAAAACAAATTCTTTTTTGCTGTTGTTGTTTTTATCAAGACAGGCTTTCTCTGTAACCTTGGCTGTCCTGGACTCAATCTGTAGATGAGGCTGGCCTTGAACTCATAGCGATCTGCCTGCCTTGAGTGCTGGGGTTACAGGCATGCACCACCATGCCTGGCTAAAAAAGCAAAAAGTTTTAAAGATTTATTTATTTATTAGTTTACAGTGCTCTGCCTGCACGCCAGAAGAGGGCACCAGATCTCATTTTAGATGGTTGTGAGCCACCATGTGAATGCTGAGAATTGAACTCAAGACCTCTCTGGAAGAGCAGCCAGTGCTCTTAACTTCTGAGCCATCTCTCCAGCCCCACCAAAAAAAGCAAAATTTTAACTCATTCCATGAGAGACTTCAGCCAGACTCCAAGTGCGGGGCACCTTTCCTTCTTCACATGTCATCATAACTTTCCCTGTCTTTTAACACATCTTCCTGCCAAGATGTTAATCCAGGAAAGCAAGAGGAGAGAGTTTACATTTACTTGGTAACAAGCCAGGAGAAACACACTGAAGACAGAATCTTTGTAGTTCACAAACTCTCTGCAATGGGCAGTCCTCACTGTCAGCCAAACTAGGAGGCTGGTCACCTAGGAGACCAGTGATGGACAGTTCTGGATATGTCTGTCTGTACCAGTGTTCCCACAGAGCATGAAGGCCCACCCAGAATGTGGGGTGACACTGTCCCACGGATGTGGGGCTGCTCATCTGGAGAAAGCCAGAAAGCGCTGACTTTCTCCCCTCTCATTTCTTATCCTCCATATGTGAACTACTGAATCGGATCAGCTACGCCCGCACCGCAATGACGAGTCCCAATAAACGTTTCTCGCTTAAGTTGTTAGTGTCAGGCATTGTGTCATAGTGACAGGAGTAACTACGGCTCACAGTGGGCCCCACAACTTCCTCCGGAGCCCATAAACTACTCCTTGTGCTAATTGGCTGCCTAAGAAAATTTAATTGAAAGAACACAGAGGCTCTTCCTAAATGAGGAGCCTGTGCCGCTCTGACTCCTGTAGCTGCTCCTGTAACAGCCATTCCCTGACCAGCTCTGTAGGTGGTCTGGACCACCAACACTCCCAAGCTCCGAGTTACCTGACTGCTACCAGCCATGGCTATCTTAAAGGAAAATGTGGGAGGAGAAAGAAAGCAATGATGAGGGGGCTGGGGACTTGGCTCAGTGATAGAGGACTTGCCTAGTAGCATGCAGGAGGCCCTAGGCTCAATCCCTGGCCACTGAGGAGAAATGCAGACAAGCAAGAATGGTAGCCTGATAAAATCTATAAATGATTATTTTCTGGATTATACCAAGTTAACTATATACAGCTTTGCCTTCTTATTTCTCTAGGAGGTGTTCCTCTGCCAGGCTCATGCCACCAGCGAGGTCCTCCCAATCCAGCTCCTCCTAATTCCGTACGTACCGTAGCCACAAGACTCGGGTGAAGTATTAATCTCTCGGCTCTCTGACAGGTCCTGCCAGGAGGAGTTTACTGTCTCTTAGAGTGTGCTGGGTACAGCTTGCTAGGAAGGAAAGCGCAGGGAGGAGTTAGGATAGCGGGTGATCTGAAGAAGGTACTAGCACCCGGTCTTTGTGCTTTAGTCAGATACAATGACCACCTCCATGCTGCCGTTCCTTTGCCCCCCCCCCTCGCCCCCCGGGTTCATTCAGAGAACTTGTGGCATCTTTTACAAACATGCTTGGGGGGCTGCAGAGATGGTGAGAATTGAACTCACCACCTCCATGCTGCCGTTCCTTTGTCCCCCCCCCACCCCCCGGTTCATTCAGAGAACTTGTGGCATCTTTTACAAACATGTTTGGGGGGCTGCAGAGATGGCTCAGCGGATAAGAGCACTGTCTGCCCCTCCAGAGGTCCTGAGTTCAATTCCCACCAACTACATGGTGGCTCCCAACCAGTCTATACTGGAATCTGATGACTCTTCTAACCCACCTTTCTTTCCTGGCATTCTATGTCCTCCTCAGATGGCTTTGGCCCCTTCGGATGTCCTCAGACATGTTGACAGAACACACTTTTTCTACATACTCACTCTCAGCTCTGGGTGCTGGTCTGAAGCAAAGCCTTTCTCGCCCATCTTTTTGCCTGGATGTTTCCTTCACAGCCTGTATTCAGTACTTGATGTAATCTATCAGTCTCCACTCCCAGGAGGCCCTAGGAGGCCAAACACTAGGGTCACTTTGTTCAGTTCTCCAGAATACAGCCTGACACATAGTAGGTGTTTATTAAGTTATTGAATAACGGACAGTAAACCCATTGCTCTTAATGTGCAGTGCGGGCCGTGTTCTCTCAGAGGTATTTGACGGCAGTATGCTAGCTGTGTCCTAAGGACACGAGAGGTCCAGAGGGAAGACAGAGTACTGGCCCAATGACGATGCACTTGACACACTAAAATCCAGCCTCTTTTTTTTTCTTTCATGTTTTTATCTTTCAGTCTAAGACACTGTGCTTCCAGCAAGTTTCTTCAGCCACACCAAAGACGGCAACCCCATCTTCAACCAGAGCTTTACAGGTGACATCAGCCACACCAGCACCCAGCATTCCACCACAGGTGACATCAGCCACACCTGCACCCAGCATCCCACCACAGGTGACAACAGCCACGCCTGCACCCAGCATCCCACCACAGGTGAGAACAGTCACACCTGAACTCAGCATCCCACCACAGGTGACAACAGCCACACCTG